TACATTTACAGACAGAATCAGAACGATCTGGTCTAACAAAAACACACAGCAGACTCTAGCACATTATCCATCCATCCATCCAACCATCCAACCATCCAACCATCCATCCATCCAACCATCCATCCGTCCATCCATCCATCCATCATCTTCCTCTTGTTCTGAAGTCAGGTCTTGGGGGCAACATCTTGAGCAGGGAGGTCCAGACATCTCTTTCCACAGCCACCTCTTCCATCTCTTCTGGGAGGACTTCAAGGCGTTCCCAGGCCGAGAGACGTGGTCTCTCCAGCGTGTCCTGGGTCCTCCCCAGAGTCTCCTCCCAGTCAGACATGCTTGAAGTGCCTCCCTAGGGAGGCGTCCAGGAAGCATCTTTACCAGATGTCTGAACCACCTCGATTGTCTCCTCTGGATGTGGAGAAGCAGCAGTTCTACTCAGAGTCTCTCCTGATAACTGAACTTCTCACCCTTTCTCTAAGGGAGAGTCCATCTACCCTGCAGAGGAAACTCATTTCAACCTCCTGTATCCACGATCTCCTTGTTTCAGTCACCACCCAGAGCACGAAGGAAATCAGGGTGAATCTCATCCACCCTCAGAGCCCTGCTGCCTCTGAGCTTTTTAACTACCTCGGCGACCTCAGCCACGGTTATGGATGGATCAACCCCACAGTCCCCCAACTCAGCTTCCTCCATGGAAGATGTGTGGTGGGATTGAGAAGGTCAGAGAAGTATTCCCTCCACCTCCCGACGACGTCACTGGTTGAGGTCAACAGCACCCCACCTTCACTGAACACAATGTTAGTAAATCACTGCTTTCCCCTGCTCAGCCGTCTGATGGTTTGTCAGAATCTCCTCGGAGCCGACCGAGAGTCTTTATCCAAGGCCTCTCCAAACTCCTCCCACATCTGACCTTTTGCTTCAGCAACAGCCCAGGCTGTGGACCGCTTGGTCCTCCGGTACTCCTCAGCTGCCTCTGGAGTCCCACCAGCCAACGAGGACCGATGGGACTCCTTCAGCTTGACAGCCTCCCTAACCCGGGGTGTCCACCACCGAGTTTGAGGATGGCCACTGCAAGAAACCAGACAACCTTGCGGCCACAGCTCAAGGCAGCTTCCTCAACAACTGAGGAGCAGAACATGGTCCACTCTGACTAAATGTCCCCCGCCTCAGCTGGGATGTGGTTAAAGCTCTCCCGGAGGTGTGAGTTGAAGAGCTCTCTGACAGGTTCTTCTCCCAGATGTTCCCAGCAAACCTTCACTACACGTGTGGGTCTACCAGGTCTGTCCAGCATCTTCCCCCACCATCTGATCCAAGTCACAGTTGAGGAGGTGATCAGTTGACAGCTCAGCTCCTCTCTTCACCAGAGCGTCCAAAACAAACAGCCACAAATCAGATGACATGACAATGAAGTAGGTCATCGATCTACGATGTTGTTATTGAACTAAAATGAAAGTAAAAAATAAAAAACTAGCTCCACCTGCTGCTTCATCAGAGGTTCAGGATCAGCTGCAGATCACATTCACTGATCATCACATTAGTTCATGCAGTAATACACTAATACACAATAGTTAAGTGTGTATAAATACACAGTTTAGTGCTTTAGGTCATCTGATCACAGCTGCTTCAGTCATCCTTCGCTTGGTGAAGAAAACTATTTGTGTTGTGTAGTGCTCTCTGGTTGCTATTAATAGGTTGAGCAACACAAAGAGCAACATTGTTGGAATAACAGTTTGAGGCTTAAATCTCCTCGGCTAGAGGGAGGAATAAACATGGGTCATATGTGGGTTTCAGCCTGTTTCTCTGATGTTTCACTTCAATCACTTTGAACTAGACAAATATAACTTGTTAAAGGGATAGTTTAACTGTTTTTAAAGAGTGTTCTGATTAAAGACTATCTTACCTGTCCTAGATACTGCATCTCTTTGAACAGTTTGGATTAAAAGTTTATTTCTGACAGCACTGACAAGCTAACGGCTGGTGTGCACAAGCTTAGACCAGAAGGTGTTAAAACAACTCCATGAGCAGCAGCAGCAGCAGCAGCAGCAGCAGCAGCAGCAGCAGTAGCAGCAGCAGCAGCTAGCTGTAGCACTTTGTGTGCAGAACAGTGATGTGAAGGTTTCTATGTTCAACAGTGTTTAAAGGCTTTAGACGCTCAGAATAAGCTTTTATTAGCTTGTCAAAACTTTACGTTTCCATCATTACTAAATTAACTGGAGAGGAATCTGTTCCTGCTGGAAGTGCTACAACCAGCTGCTGCTGTTTGCACCTATAAACAACCAGAAAATCTCTTTAAATAACCACATATTTGAACGGATAGCAGCGTTGACGTTGATATACAGTGTTTTAATGAAGTGATGTGAATGATGTTTTAACACCACACAATTCAGCTTTAGTCTAGGGGTGCACCGATAAATCTGCACCAATTTCCTTAATTTTGGGAAATCAGAAATCGGCCGACACTCGCACGAGAAACTGATTTTACCGATTATTTTAGTTTAACAACAATTGTCTGAAGTTCATTTATATTTCAGAGCACTGCCTCATGGCCAGTTAAAACAAGTTTGTATTGTTTCTAGGATATTGTTCAAGGGTATGTTGTTCAGTAAAATAAGACTGAAAGTTGAAGGTGCATTGTGACATTATAACTCCTGACAGTGTCGCTTATAAAACAAAATCAGAATCGGCAGGTCAGACTTTTTATAAATTGGTGCTCTGTGATCGGGCAGAAATCTGCCGTCGGTGCACCCCTACTTTAGTCTCTGTTGGGTTCTGACTAGTTGGCTCGTCATTCTTGTCAGAAATAAACTTTATTTGTCCAATCTGTGGCCGTTCACAGAGCCATAAGATATGAATTCTTCCTAACTTTTATACACAAGCCCACTTTAAGCTGACCTACCTGTTGCTTTAGGTTTTCTAATTTTAGTGTACTTGTGCTGAACTCTGTGATGTTTCATGTAGAGTTCCTGTGAAACAAGAAACCACAAACGCTGTTTACCTCAGAGCAAAAGGGAACCGAACCCACAACCCAGTCAGTACATGGGCATGTTCAGTGTGAGCGGAGTTGGGCTGTGGAACAGACAAGTGTCGTTCTGTGTGTGCTGATCATCAGCAGTTTATTCATTAATCAGTGTTTGACAGACGCGTCTGTTCTTGCTGGTGTTTGTTTTTCACTCAGCTGTTGAACTCCTGTGTGCTTTAAAGAGCGCTTCAGATATTGTTCATCAGTCTGAAACACTGATTCAAACTAAAAGAAACGTACAGGCTTTCACTTGATGTCGTGGTCCATGTCCGCAGGTGGAAATGTGTAGGGAGGTTGTTGGGTATGACTGTCCTTCTAATGGGAACCCAGTTAGTCCAGCGCTTGGAGGAAGAAACAACAAGCCGTTTGTTCACAGCGAGGGATCCTGGTGAGGAACTTGTAGCTGCAGGTTCGAGTCTGCTGTAATAACATCATCCGTCAGAAACGAGCAGCAGCATGCCTCCATCACTGGACAGCCTGATCTGTCAGGAGGGGGACACTGCCCCCTCCTGGTCCCCCTGCATTTCTTCAGATGCAGTTTATTGTCCAGGATGAGAGCAGGACATTAGTTGCTCTTCAGTGTGAGTTGGTGAGGAGAGACGAGGATCTGATGGAGGAGTCCATGGCTCACCTCAGGCTCTGCAGGGGGGTCTTCACGTGCACGCTGCAGCACAGCACTTTACTCCAACTTAAACAAGACAATTTGATCTTTCTGTGTGACATGAAAAGACTTTTTACCACTTTAGTTTTCTTACATTATAGTTTAGTTTTGGTCCTGCAGCCTGTGACGATCTGTGAACTCCAACCTGCTGTGATTACACAGTTTATGACCCTCCTCCATTCCTGGACACTCCCCCTGAAAATTACTACCCAGCTCCTGCTCTTTGCCTCCAATAAAAGCCTCGTTGTGCCAGACAGTAATGTGGAGCTTTGGCTTCAGTCGAACATGTCGGAGGGACTGGTTCAGAAGCTGAGCAGGGTTTTATCAGCAACAGTGGAAGGACACTTTGTCTTCTCAGTCTATCGCCAGGAAACTCTCACATGAAGTGTCAGATTTCATTCATGCAGCGTCATTTATTCATCGTAATTAAAGTTTTATTCCATACACAGTTGTCTGTGTAAAGTTCAGTGAAAATAATTTCTTCATGTAGTTCAGTTTTACGTCCTGTTTGCTGCTCACTGACGGTCCCCGCTTGTGCTGGTTTCTGTGGATTACAGTTATAAAATGAGACCGATGTTTTGGGCTGCAGAGGCTTCGTGCAGTCAAACTAGGGATGCACGATATTATCGGCATGGTATCCGTATCGGCTGATATTAGCGATAAAGTTAAATATCGGACATCGGCCATTCCATCAAAATAAGTCACCCATATAAAAGGTGCTGTTTCTGTATGACAAGGATGCCTGCGATGCACAACGTATGACATCATGCGAGCCGGTGAGTTTAGATTTGTGAAAATTTACAAATTTGCACAGTTCGAGTGTCATTGTGTTTGAGAGAGTAAATGTCATGAATAAATTTGACATTAAACATAATCCAAGTTGAAGTGTTGCATCATTTTCAGCCCCTTTTTGGCATCTGTGTTTGGTAGCAGCCAAACTGACAAAGACCATGCAGGATAATGTAGTATTTTAATTCCACAGCAGAGAAAGATGTGCAGTCTCTGTAAGTAGATCTAGGGGGGAAAGTATCGGTATTGGTATCGGTTATCGGCCAAATAAGTTTTAACATATCGGTCAAAAATCCAATTTGATGCATCTCGAAGTCAAACCACGTGAGGTGATTCAGAGCTGTAACTGTGCACACTTTGCACCAACAGAGTCTCTTAATGACTCAAAGATGGAAGATGGCCCCGGCTAGTTTGAGTTTTGATCGTTTCAAATTAAAAGCATCTCTCTGGAACAGCAGTCTGTGTTTATATATGTAGTTCTATTGAAGTGTTGGTGTCAAACTTCCTGTTTTAACGATATATTTTGACCAGCAGGTTTGCTGGAATGGGTAACTTGCTAAAAGTCCTAACAAGAGAAATCGAGAACTATCCGCACTTCTTCCTGGACTTTGAAAGTAAGTGTGGAGGAGCAGGAGGAGGTGTGGGGCGGAGGGAAGGAGGTGCTTCCTTTTCTCTCATGCTTTGTCTCTTCTTCTCTCCTCCTGCGTGGTTCTGACCTGTGGTTCTCTGTCGGCTCCGTTCATAACGTTTGATTCAACATCAGGTCCTTCTTTCTGTCCTTTGTCTCTGCAGAAACCAGATGGGGAATCTGTTAAAAGTGCTCACTTGCACAGAGCTTGAGCAGGGACCAAACTTTTTTCTTGACTTTGAAAGTGAGCGTAACTCTCTTCCTGTCCTTTGAAGCTCTAAACGCCTCTCCTTTCTTTAATCTTGTCCTTTTTATTCTTTCTTCCATTTCTTTTCCCTCCAGCGTGGCTGCTCAGAGGTCAGAGGTCAGCTCATTCAACCAACCCAACTGTTGGTGTTGCCTCTTTCTATCATGGTTATGCTTTTAAAGGAAGATTCTTATTATGTGGGCTTGAAAAATGCAATTGACCTTTGACCTCTGCTGTCTGCATGAACGCTCCTGCATTGCACAGTTTCACCGACTCCTAATTTATTAAACCTTTATATGTCGTATCAAACATGCTTTTATTCCTGTTCTTGTCTTGTTCCACAGATCTGAGTTTTTCTCCAAGAATCAATGTATTGTGTACCAGACGTATTATTTATATTCTTTCACATTTCATCAGTGCAGAAACAACATTAATGCTCAAATAGACAAATGTCTCTGCTGTGGGCCTTTGTCCGAGACCTCCTACAGAAGAAGGAGAACGACACCCCCACAGTCAGGCTCTGTTGATCCACTCAGCAGGAAAAGATGGAAGCAGGAAGCTTCAGACCCAGAGTTTTAATTCATTCTTTATATTTAGAGCGGCTTCAGGAGGCGATGCAGAAGCTGCAGGCTGACTTTACAGCAGAATGTGACGGAGATAACTAGTTTTAGCTTTTATAATCGAAGATTAAATTATAATCTCACAGGAGTAAAGGAGGCCATCTTTGTGAAAAGAAATCGTCCATCATTAAACAGGGGTGGAGGCCTCCGGGTTCAACTGTCCCCCTCTTACAATGCTGTGATTGCTAGTATCACTCAGCCCTCTGTGAACAGTAAACAGCCATCAGTGTGCTAATGATCCATTGTTAGGCTGATGGTCCTTCTTGAGCATGTGATCAGCTGGTTTTGGTTGTCAGCAGCAAACTGGTTGATCCACTCTGAGAAGGTGCTATTTAAGAGACTGAGCTGAATACAGCACCTCAGACTGAGGAAGTCTCTCGGATGAGAGACGAAACGTTTCTACATTTTTTTGCTTTGTTTTGTTTTGATTGTGTTTTTGTTAGTTTTTTTGAATGTCCAGAGGACCAGATTGAACTTTTTGGATTTTTCTACCTGGATTATTGAGCATGCATCAGGATGTTATAATCTCACAGATTATCTGTCAGCTTTGCCTCCCACAGTGAATCCCTGAAAGGAGGCAGCACATTTCTCTCCCACGTTACGGAAGCGAAAAGCCTCCGTCTGTCCGTCCACGCATGTTGTCACAACTTGAAAAATAAGTGAGACACCACCTTTTGTGGCTGCATGTAGGAGAAAGAAGGCTTCATTTGTAAAACTGGGACAGCACTTCAAATCCAACATGGCCGCCATCACCTTATGTAAACAGACCCCGCCCCCCAGTGCAGATCAAAGTAGAAGACCGCAGCGTGAAGTCTTGTCTGGTGGAAAGCTTTAGATAATTGTTGTGAAAAGGCAGAATTTCATTTATTTCTGGTTGCCTCAGCATGACTGTGTTTGTGTGTTTGTGGCGGTGTGTGCGCTGGAGTTCATGGTTGTTTGTGTGTCAGATGCCCAGCCAACAGATGGAGAACGTGAGGTGTGGAACCAGGTGAACTCAGTCCTTCAGGACTCTGAGAGCATCCTGGCTGGTCTGCAGGCATACAAAGGAGCGGGACAGGAAATCAGAGATGTGAGGAAACACGTAGTGAACACACAATGAACACACAGCGAACACATTGAACACACAATGAACACACAGTGAACACACAATGAACACACAGTGAACACACAGTGAACACACAATGAACACACAGTGAACACACAATGA